GACGTCATCTCTTTCAGGGAAGACCCTGCATTTTTCAACACGATAATACCAGACCACATTCTGCAGCAATCACAACATCATGGCTACGTAGGAGAAGGATCCGGGTACTGAAATGGCCAGCCTGCAGTCCAGCTCTTTCACCTATAGAGAACATTTGGCGGATCATAAAGAGGAAGGTGCGACAAAGAAGGCCCAAGATGATTGAACAGTTATAGGCCTGTATTAGACATGAATGGGAGAGTATTCCTATTTCTAAACTGGAGAAACTGGTCTCCTCTGTCCCCAGACATCTGTTGAGTGCTGTAAAAATAAGGGGGGATGCCACACAGTGGTAAAAATGGACTTGTCCCAACTTTTTTGGGATTTGTTGACACCATGAAATTTGGAAACAACAGATTTTTCCCTTAAAATGATACATTCTCTCAGTTTAAACTTTTGATCTGTGATTTGTGTTCTATTCTGAATAAAATATTAGATGTTGGCACCTCCACATCATTGCATTCAGTTTTTATTCACAATTTTTGTAGTGTCCGAACTTTTTTGGAATCCGGTTTGTATTATAAATATGATTTAAACCAATTTAGAGCCATTCCTGTAATTCCAATATCATATTCAAGTCTCTGTAATAGAATATTATGCTCATCTGTATCAAGTGCTTTATCAAGTGAAGTTTGCCAAGTAGCTGTAAAATTATCAACTAAATGATCTAAGTCACTGTTCTCTGATGCATTACTCTGCAAGACAGAGGAAAACAATGGAAGAGATTGTTTAAATTTGGGTACAGCATTTTCTGATAAGCACCTGCTAAAGTGAAATTTACTCTCAGTGACTGTGTAGTCATTTAATGTTAACTCAAAGGTTATTAAAAAATGGTCAGACATAACAGAACTGTTAACCAACAATCCAAGAAAGTTCAATCTGGTCCTCTGGACATTCAAAAAAACAAAACCAACCAACCAACAAGCAGAAACAGGTAATCCACATCAATGTACAGGACAAGCTGCCAGAGAGTCTACTCGTTCTGGAAGAAATGATCCTAGCTGGTTTTGGGTCAACAGAAATCTGATCCAGATGAGGAAAAAAAAACATCAGGTAGAGCCCTCCACGGGTTCAGGATCTGACTGATCCGAGTTCAATGAAATTAACAGACAATACCAACAGCGTAATCTGAAACAGATCCTTCAGCTGACCAGCTCCGATCCGGTGGTCCTGTATGGATCCAATATCCAGATGAATGCAGATGGAAGATCAACAAAACTCTGATGCAGATGCCGGTCTTCCTTCGAGCAGCCCCTCCTCTGCGCTTCTTGGCACGAGAGGCTTCCTCCAGGCGAGTAGTGGTCAGACTGACTGTAGAGCCTGGAGCCATCCATGGCTCGGTTCTGGTCTGGTTCTGTCAAACTCCTCTGCAGACGACAGCAAACGCCCACGGAGAGGGCTGGTCCTTCGATTACAAAGTACCAGGCTGCCCGCTGAGGCTGAGACTGGCTTGGTTCTAGTCCGGCTTGGGTCAACTTCCCCACAGCCGACAGCAGACACCCATGAGGAGAGCCAATCCAACAGAAAGCCATCGCAAAACCACACAACGATCTCGGTCGGAACTGAAAAGACCACAGAGGACCGGATGGAAAGTCCAGATGGAAGGTCCAGTTGAAATCTGGAGAAAAACGCCAAACCTTGGGACAACGTCTCTCCCACTCGAGAGGCAACCTGGCCAGCAAGCTGCACTTGGGGTGACCGATGGGCTGGAAGCGGTCCTGGTCCTTGACTGAAAAATTCGAGGACAGTTCCGTTCAGCTCTCTGAGTCCACTGAACATCAAAGACGGCTGGAAGAGGAACCAAAACTATTAGTCCGGATCGAAATCGAGTCAGTTTGATGTTGTAGGACTGCAGAGAAGTCGAGGAGCTGCCATCCTGCTGCTGCTGGTGAGCTGACTGACCATCTGACGTGATCACATATTCTGGTGTGGTTGTTCTTCACGGATCAGGCAGCTGACTGTCAGACCACCATCAAGGCAATGTCAGACAATTGCCAATAAAATTTATGGTATTAAACTCGTTGGACAACTTCTGTGTTATTAAACAATAAAGCACAAAACTCCAAAAAGTCCAAAAAGTCATTATGTTCCAGTAAAAAACATATTTCTACCTTTTGTTGCACATAGTCCAGGATGTTCTTGAAATCAAGATCATCATAGTAGTGTTTAATTCCTTCTCGTATGGTACTCTGAAACAACGTTGATGTCTGGATAAGACAAAGGAACACAATGAGGGAGTGAGGGAGGCCTTTGCTTTAGGCACAGGCACAGATGATGCCAGTCAGATGCCATGTGAACAGCTTTGTGAGCTAACTGAAACTGATCATATCATTGGCTGGACTACAAATAAAATAAAGGAAAACATTTACCTTCTTTTCAAAGATGAGAGCTGCAGCGAGAGCAATTGCTTGGAGGAGCAGTAATACACAAAGAACACAAAGGAACTGTGGAAGGAGAAATAAAACGGATTCATACAGCAATTAGGCAATGAAACACAAAGGAAAGTGCTTATACTTGGCTTTATTACCCAATAGAGAAAGGCTGTGAGAAAAGCTGATATCAAATTTATTACGATCCTAAGCATTTGTGTTCTTCGGATGAAGAATCCTCACCTGTTCCCAATTTGCTCAAGGAAAATAAATGAATTGGTCATTCGTGACAAAAAAAAATCAATCATTTATGAAACATTTTCAGTTATGCACATGCTCTGCAGCTGTGTTTAGGTTTGAACAGACCGCTTGAGGATGTGCTGAGCAGCTGTGCCATTTCTTCGAATCCTGCTATTGAAATTATGCAAAACTGAAAGTTGCTGGTTTGAAACCTACTGAGAGCAACAAGCATACATTATTCATGAAATGTTATAAATATAATGAACATTTTGCACAAAATTTTAGAACTTTGATGTATTAAATTTTTAATCTTTTTCCTAAAAACACACAGACATCACTGACTTTTACTTCAAAATTTAATTTGCTCTTTCAGTTTATCTAATTTAGCCATACCTAATGAGACGGTTGCATAGCAACCACAATAATGTATCTCTGCTCCTTTTTGAAGGTTCTCATTTATTAACAAAACCAACAGCTTTTCCTTTGCATGAGAAGAGGAAAATAACATTAACGGTTCAGTAGTATTACTATTTTATTAACTGTACTGTTGTGCACTGAATATGAATTATATTTTGAGCAACTTAATGTTGTAGTAATTTGTGTAATTATACACAAATATACCCACATACATGTTGATTTGATTCTGTAAATGAATGAATAATCCAATCGGTGAAAAATTCTGAACATTCATGAAGAAAAGTTAATAAACTGCAAATATGCATCCAACCCGCCACCCTTCAGGGTTCCCACCATGTGCAGCAGGGTCTTGTTGTCCCTGAGGGATCCAACCATTCCTACTACAGACACGGTGAACATCACCAGGCCCAGCAGGATGAGCACCACGGCAGGAGCCAGGAAAAGTCCCTCCAAGGTTCGATTTTTCTGCCTTTCAACTTCTGCATACACCCCCACACACAGGACACAGAGGCCCACGAGCTGCAAGGAAACAAACAAAAAAATATTTAACTTAAGTATGTCAATAAAAATATAAACAACGGCCCTGCAAAAACTTCATTTTATACTAGTATTTTATACTACTGAATAGGCATACTACACCAGTATGCCCATCCATCCATCATCTTTACCCGCTTCTTCCTTTTTGGGTCGCGGGGGGTCACTGGTGCCCATGTCCAGCAATCACTGTGTGAGAGGCGGGGGATATCCTGGACAGGTCTCCAGTCCATCACAGGGACACACAGAGACAAACAAGAAAAACAACCATTCTCTCTCTCACCTAGGGACAATTTAGAGTTACCAGTCAGTCTAACATGCACGTTTTTGGTCTATGGGAGGAAACCGGAGTATGTGGAGAAAACCCACACAGCACAAAGAAAACATGCAAACTCCACCCAGAAAGACCCTCGGCTGGGATTTTAACAGGGGCGACCTTCTTGTTGAGAGGCGGCAGCTCCACCAACTACACCACCGTGCTGCCCCCACCAGTATGTCTTAAAGTAAAAATGTGTGTTTGGGAATTTTTCTTATGGAGACGATGCTTGGCAGGTATTTCCCACCTATTCTTGTGTGTGCTAAACAAAACTTTTCTGGGATTCTCAACCTGCCATTGTGTATCTGTTCTACCAAACTTAGCTGGTTGAAGCAGATGGTTTGCTAAAGGTTTCTTCCTCATGAGGGAGTTTTTCCTTTCCACTGTCGCCTTCATGCTTGTTCAATTTTTATTTTTAAATATGTTTCTGTTCTGTGCCCTGAGACAACTTCTGTTGTGACTTGGAGCTGAAGAAATAAACTGAATTGAATTAAAATAGATTCAAAACATTTTATGCATAAAGACTACGAAAAGAAAGAAAAGAAAGTCCGATAGTACCACTAGGGCTAACAAATTCATATTCATATTTTGTATAATCAGTTGAAAAATTATTCAATTCAATTCAGTTTATTTATATAGCACCAAGTCACAACAGAAGTAATCTCAGGGCAGTGAACATAAATATTAATATGTAAAATAGGTTAATAGAAATATCCATATATAAAAATTATAATTTAAGACTTTTCATGGACAAAACAAAACAAGGAACTCAGTGTCCCTTGACTGAATGTGGGTTACCGGTAGGGGTGCGAATCTCTCAGTGTCTGGTGTAGTGTGTCAAGGTCAGCTTTGCTGTACCTTCACTACAATATATTTTAAATAACGGGTTCTCTCTTTTTCAAGCTAATTACAGCCATGTGACAGAAGTAACTGTGCGTAGATGGTTTAATCGGTGACATGAGACGTTAATTTTCTTTGACCCATCAGAATCAATGTGGTCATTTATTGAATAGAATCAAAATTTAACATCAAAACATTGTACACTTGATTAGTTGATCTGGTTCTGATTAATAAAACTTGGCACGTTTTACTTAATAAAAACAACAGACATTTCTGAAGACCTCTAGATTAATTACTGGAGAAGTAGAAGAGTTTTAAAGATGGGAAATATGAGGAGTTTAAATGGAGAGGTTTGAAGGAAGATGTATAAAGGGAGTGTCTGTTCGGACCAGGATGGCACGCTCCTTTCAATACCAGCTCACCTCCGGTACACTTGGCGTGTCACGACTCGTTACCTTTGCCGGGATACCTCCGCTCAGGAACAGGAGTCCATTTCAACGCGACCTTTCAGCGTCTCCGGTAAGGATGGCTGGTCACCGTCAGAAGTCGTGTCACTTATCCGTTCAACAAACAGGCACAGCTCCCTTGGAAGTTGTAGGGCATTTATGCCCGGGTGGATTCACAGCAAGCATCTGTGAGTCCGTTCAGAGTTTCCACTCAGAAGTGGAAGACTCATGAAGACTGAGAACTCAAGACTGAGAACTGCAGAACTGCCACACTGACTCCAGAACTCTATAGTTCCAGGAAGTGTCGACTTTTAAAGAGTTGTTCCTTCTGGTCACTTTAGTACTTCCTGATTGGTTGAAGCAACCAACAGGGGGTGGTTCTAGTGATGTCAGAGGGTCATTACAAGTCAAGAAAACAGCAGGAATGTTTTAGAAACGTCCCGTACAGACAGAAGACATGTTATGTCGAAGTGGGAGGAAGAGAGGCCAGTAGCTTCTTGTTTACCATCTGCTAGGTTTAAAAACACGACACTTCGTTCTAATAACTCCTCTTCTGACTTCCGACCGACATCACTACTTCTCATTTCAGACAGAAGATCAAAAATGCATAATTACTTTGTAAAATAGACATTTAACTTGATTTCTAATTTAAATGAGGATTAAAAAAATCATTAATACTGTTTCACAGTTGATTTAAAATGAGTGGTTCACTTCAACATTTAGAAATGGTATGAACTAAACACACTTTTGATTTATCAAGATATTGTAAAATAGTGATGATAATATAAAAGAAGAGTGTTCTTTCATATCATTACTTCAGGAAACAATTAGACAGTCTCTGGATGAGCTAATTTGTATTTCTGGATTCAAATCAATGAAATAACAGTTCCTGTCCCATGAAGGTCCTCAGAGGCAGGTTTTGATTGGAGGCCGAGTCCACTACACTGGCGATCCGATTGGATTCCGGTTTTTGTTGTCATGATACCATTCAAAATCAATTTTTTGATTTGGAAACGATTTTTGATTCAGAAACAATTTTTCTATCGAAATGGTCAAATTTTGTTTAATTTATTATGTATATGTAACTGACAAGATGAAAAAATAAAACAACAATTTAAACAAATACAACATTTATTGAAAACAATCATTTTAGGTTCCTTACTGTATCAAATCTTTTTTATTCATTTTATATTTATAACAAAAATAGGAAAAATATAGGAGTGCATAAAATTCTGCAACTTAAATTACCTATATTAGGTTAGCTTAGTTGCCTGAATTTTTCTAAAAAAAAAAATAAATAAAAAAAATTTAGGAACAAATAATTCATCCATCAATCATCTTTATCCACTTCTTCCTTTTCGAGTCATGGGTGTCACTGGTGCCCTTATCAGCCATCACTGTGTGAGAGGCGGGGAACAACAGGTTTCCAGTTCATCACAGACAAATAATTCAAAATATATAAATAGAAAAGTAAACAGACTTCAGCCTACCAAAGTGCATTAAGCTTTAACTCAACATAAAATACAGACTTCACAGTTTTTTAACCATATTGCTCTAACATTTGGTACATTTTCAAAACTTTACCTAATATGAAATATACAGACTTGACAGTCTTAACCATATTGATTCATATTTAGTAAATCTTTAACAAAATTTCCAAACCTGTGCAAACCTGCACAAACTCTTCTGAACTGTAATAATTTATTAACCATAAATTGTATAATTTAGAACTGGCTCCAGGTGATGTCTCATCTGGCCTCTTCAACCTGTTAAAAAGACAAATTACATTAAGTTTGTTTTATAACTTGTCTTTAAGTTTTAGTATAATATGAGAAAAAATAGTTACCCTTTGAGCAGCAGCTGCATCAGAGCTTCTCCCATTTGTTGTTTCATGGTGAAGTTGTGGTGCTGCTTTATCGCAAAAAAAAAAAAAAATCTACATGAAGGAATAACATACGTTGGGTCCAGCATATTAAAAATAAACCTAAACCCCTGGGGAGTGGTGGCGCAGAGGTTAGATGATGGGCTTGTGACCGGAAAGTCGCAGGTTCACCTCCTGGTACCGTCTACATCAAAATATGGGTGGAAAAGGTGAAACACCCACACCTCCCTCCACCCTCATTCGCCCCACTCTGGGCCCCTGAGCAAGGCCCTTAACCCCCACCATCTCCCTAAAAAACAGGTCTCTTTTGAAAATGAGTTTTCATGGCTCAATGAGACTACCTGGATAAATAAAGGGTAAATGAAAAAAAAACCTAAACCCCTCACCTTCCACTGAGCTGTCTGCTCGTAAATCCTTTGTGATATAGCAGGAGATGGAGAGGGAAATCTTTGCAGCCTTTGGAGAGGCCTGGAAGTTTGTTACAGAGTTCGCTGGTCGGCTGCTTTGCTTTCATCTTCCGTGCATTTTGTCAGATTTCCAAAATACTGTATCGCAATTTTATTTTATGCTTATTGTAAACAACTGTGCTCTTGTTAAGCTCTGTCTTCTCCCGGAACATTGTAGGATCTGAAATTATTTTTAAAGATGAAGAGGCGGGTTGAATCACGCCGTCTCCCTCCTCTATGCTAGCAGGCTCCATTCAGATAAAGGGAGCTGGCTAACTAGCTTGCTGTATGGTGGCCTACATGGCTCAATTCTATGGCGGCCGAATGGGGAGTAGGAGCGGAAAAAATATAAACCTTAAATGCATTTTAAAATCGATTTATAGACCTTTCGAAACGATTCAGAATCACCAGGACTAAGAATCAAGATTCTTTGAAAAAACAATTTTTTTCTGCACCCCTAGTTACCGGGGCCCCACCCTGGAGCTAAGGCCTGGGGGAGGGGCTCGTCGGTGAGTGCCTGGTGACCAGGTCTATACCCATGGCGTCCGGTCGGGCTCAGCCCGAAGGACCAGTATGGGTTTGCCTTCCTGTGGACCCATCACCTGCAGGAAGGGCCCTAAAAGTCGGATGCACAATGCTATGGGCAGTGGCCGAAGGCAGGGACATTGGCGCTCTGACCCTGGCTTACCAAAGCTGGCTCTTGGGACATGGTATGTAACCTCTCTGGCAGGGAAGGAGCCTGAACTTGTGCGCGAGGTTGAGAGGTACCGACTAGATATAGTTGGATTCACCTCGACGCACAGCATGGGCTCTGGAACCGATCTCCTTGAGAGGGGCTGGACCTTATTCCACTCTGGAGTTGCCCACGGTGAGAGGCATTGAGCTAGTGTGGGTCCATTTGTATCCTCCAGACTTGGTGCCTGTGTGTTGGAGTTTTCACCCAGTAGATGAGAGGTTGGCTTCCCTTCGCCTTCGGGTGGAGGGGGACAGGCTCTGACTGTTGTTTGTGCCTGCGTGCCAAACTGCAGTTCAGAGTATCCGGCCTTCTTGGAGTC